ATGGGCAGCAATGAGACAATAACATGGCTGATTTCCGAATGTCTCTAAGTGTAAAGATTGCTGGAATATAATCTCTATTTATAGGCAACAAAGTGACAGTTGGAATAGTCCGAACAGGTACAACAAATTGAATGAACAGATGCACTTTTTAATTCAAACAATTCTTCTAATCGTTTGTTTGGAACAAATTTTCAAACCTTTTGTTTTGAAAAATGTATACGTTGCAAACAAATATTCAAACTAACAAATATTCAAACTATTTGAAAAGTGCCGTTGGAGACAAACATAGGAATAGTTTGGACCTTTATTATTTAAACTATTTAAAATATATATATATATTAAACTATTTGAATATATATATATATTAAACTATTGAAATAGTTTAATAAATAAAGGAAGAGGTACAAACTTTAGGAAATCACTTAGGAATCCAAAATTTGAATTTATAATTAAATTAAATTCCCACAATTACAAACTTTAGGAAACCACTTAGGAACCCAAAATTTGAATTTAGAATTAAATTAAATTCCCACAATAATTTTTATTGAAAAAATTCAAATAAATTTTATCTAAAAAATTAATGTTAGACTCGAAAACGACGTCAACTTCCCATTCACTCATAAATGGTTCTGACGTTCCGTCTTCACCGTGTGACTTGTCACGCGGCAAGAAACACGTCCTCTTCGGACCCATCCCAAAAGACGTTTGGGGCCTACTCAATTTTGGCCTCAAAGTCTGCCCAAAATAAGTCATAATAAACCAATTTTTCCAACAAATTAAAGACAGATAATTACGAAAGACCTGTAATTGGAGAACATTTTATACTATCTTAATCTTTTTACTCAAAGAAAATAAAAAAATTTATCAAAAATGATAAATTTGAGTTAGACTCAAATTTAAATACTTAGCTTTCGTTTGGAAAGTTGATTGATTTTTAATTATTTTAACTTGAGTTAAAAAGTCTTGTTTGTGATGGACTTTTTGACTTTTTTTACTTTTATGAGAAAAAATAAAATAATTATAATTTCAATGTGACATTTTATCTTATTAACTTTTTAGTTTATTTTATTTTTTTATGACTAAAATAACTTCCAACTTACATGCCAAAGATAGCTTTAAAATTGGATTCATATGAACCCAGTAAATAATGAATCAATTTTTTAAAAAAATTATAAAATCGTGAAGAATTCGTCTAAAATTCACCAGTCCATGCCAAACCAATGAATTCGCCACTTATCCATTCCCTTCAAAAATTGTATAACCAAGCTCTTATTATGGGTCGTTTTGAAAATATAATTAAAAGTTGATTTTTTTTATTTGTTTAACTTTTTAAAAAAATATGTAAAAAATATGAAAAATAATATAACCCAAAATAAATTAAAAGTTAAGTTTTGACTACTACCCTAATTTCCAAAAGAGCCTATGACTTTTGATATATTTTCACACACGTCTATCCATACGTTTTAAACTGTATGACCAAAAAACATTTAGCATCGTGTAATAATTACTCCGACAATATTTGACATTACAACTTGATTGTAAATGATTTACTAATTATTACGTTTGAAAATGAGATGAGACATAGATATAGTTCGAAATAGGCCCTTTCCTCTCACCCAGCCCAACTTCATATTTTTAGGGCTTACAAATATTTGGCCCACGGAGCTGAATAGGATGAGGAATAGTAGCCCAGCCCAACTTAACCTGTGTAATTTTCACTTTAATTTTTATTTCAATATTATTTAATCACATAATTAGCTAAAACAATAATAAAAGATAACAAAAGTGTATAGATGCTTCTTTTTTTTCTTTTTCTTTTTTTTAATTCAAACATTTGTTAGAAAACCCAAACTCATTTTAGTATTAGATTTTGTTAATAACTTAAATTCAAATAATTATTAAAAAATAGCACAATGCTCACATATCTATAACCCAAGCTGCATGAAGAAGGTTGCCTCTGGCAAGCATATCCAAGGGAACACAATTCCAATCATCAATGCACAATTTAATCACCATTTCCATGGACCACCAAAAAAAAGAACAACTACTCAATCATCAATCAAGTACACCAAAAAAAAGTCAGAAATCTTAATACAGTGCCATACTCAATCCTGCGCAATCAAACATGAACTATTCTATGGGTAGCTAAGAACTACAAGAGTACACTGAGGAAAGCAAAAAGATTGAAATAAGAGGAAGTCGGAGAATGCAAAGAAAATTACTTGGATCCCGAGCCTTGGGGCTTAAGCTGGTGAAGTACAGAGTGTCGAGCCACAACGTGCCATAAAATTGAAAGTTAACCCTCTCAACGCTCCATGCTTCTAGCATTGACATATTCAAACTTGTTTCGCAACCATTTAGAATTTCAGAACTCCTTTGAGAAAGATGAGAAAATATCGCTAATTTTTCTTTCTTTTAGACTATGCTGAGCAGCATCCAACTTTTTTCACAGCGGATACATCATCCTTGCCACCAACATTAATGGTTTGTCCCTTGGGCAAAGCCGCTGGGTCATCCCCAACTCTCTCTTCTCTGTTTCGATCAACGTCGTCTCTTCCTTCTCTCTGTTTTTTTCTCTCTTGTCTTCTCTTCCTTCTCTCTGTATTCTTCTCTTGACCGTCTTCTCTTCTTTCTTCTTTTTAATTGGTGCCTATTATATAAATAATGTATAATATAAATTATATCATAAATAATATATAATATAAATTATATCATATATAATATATATAATATAATTTACCATAAATAATATATAATATAAATTATATCATAAATAATATATTGAGAACAACTCCTTTTCTTCCATCTTGAAAGTTGTCACCAATCAACAAGTTAATACACTTTCACCTTTTCACCTACCAATCAAAAGTCAAAAAAGCTACCATCCACCTATCAATTATATAATAATAAATCTAATTAAATAATATATAATATAAAATTAATAAAATCTATAAAATACATTATCTATTTTATATTTATTTTAACATAATTTGTTATTCCTTATTTATTATATTTTTGTTATTTATAATATATATGTCAATTAAAAGTAAAAAAAAATTATATAGATAAATCAAAAAAATTATCAATAAAAGTAATACATAAGATAAAAATAATAAATATATTTAAAAAATAACTATTTAACTTATCTTTATATAATAAATATATTTTAAAAATTAAATATTTAACGTATCCCCGTACTCGTATCCTCGTTTGGATCCATATCCACGTATCCTCAATTTTTAATTTTGAAGTACCCGACCCCTAGATACGTACCCGCACCCGAGTCCGTGTAACATAGATCGTGTCATATATGTGTTCGCATCAGGAAATGGTCAACCCGAACCTGCTAAGTTCGTGTACGGTTCGAGTCATGTTATCGTGTTGTTATCATGTCGTGTCACAAATTTCTACCCTTACCCCAAACCATGGATTTTAAAGGATGCAATGGTGTAAAAGAGGTATGAGATTTTGGTTTCTAATAATGCAAAAATAATGGAACTTTTGGTTACTGTGGGGGCTTTTCTGGTGAGGTAGATGGTACATCTTAACAATAAATTGGGGTATTTTATTGTACTTTGAGGTGGTTAGGATTGTTTCCTTGATGGAGGAATTTTTGGGCTTATTAAGTAGGGGTTTAGGCTTGACAAAGTGGTTGATATGGTCTGATTGTAAAGCGTGAACATTCATTATCATCATCTACAAATCACTTATAATTCCTCAATATTACATGCGGGGTTAGTTTTTGCATTAGGCAGCTTGAAAGTTATTAAAAAATTCTCAAAGTTGTCTATTCGAATTTGAAAGAACATATCCTATATGTGGGCTCCAACACAATTCTGCTTCTTTTTTATTTTTATTTTAATGACGAGGAACCTCCCCAAGGCGAGGCCCTTTGGGCCCATCTTTACTGAATAAATGCCAAAATATCTGCAATAACCTGCAAACTATAGGTATCGGTTAAGTCTGGGAGACGCCAACGAGAGTCAAACCGAAGATGTCTGAGTTTACAACTCGACTGATGGCACGGCTTGAACTTCAGATTCGTCACTAAGGTTTGAACAAAAAAAAAAAAGGTACCTCAAATTGCAAGAAACTGTGACTTGTTCGAAGTCGAAGAGAGAATGCAATGCTGCGGCTTGTTTGAAGTCAAAAAGAGGACTGCAATGCTGCGACTGTTTCCACCTAGAGTTTCAAAGAGAGTGAAGAGGTGATCTAGGATGACGATTTGAGTGTGTTTCAACCAAGGGTTTTGATCTGGTACGACTGGTGTGACAAGGAGAGAAAGAGAGAGGTGATGTGTTTTTTCACTTTGATGATGACAGATGAGTATCCAATAATGTGTTTGACTCTGATGCCATGTTAACAAAGAGGAAGAAGAGAGAAGCCTACAAATGCAGCTCTCATTATTCAATCTAATAAAAAAAACTACATAATAAACAAATATTAATATAATCTTTAATAAAATGAAAATAGAAGACTAACCTACTCTCAAGCATAACTAAAATACAACATATCTTAACAATAAAAATCTCTGAAAATTACTCACTCCCCTCCAAGTTGAGATCTCAATATTTATGAAAATGTACTAGCCCACACTAGTGTGCAAAAAAGCCCCATAGTATGCACAAGGCCTCCACCTTTTTGCCATACCCACTGATGGCAATTCAATGGTCACGAGCAAGACTCTAGGCACATTCGCAACTTGTGACACTAGGCTAGACCAGGCTCATGCTATGCATGGTTACTATGCATTCCCATGGCCACACTGGTTAGTTGTCAGGACTAAAGTGGAAATTCCTGGCCCTAAGGGATTACACTTGGCCACAATCCTTACCCTTGGAAGGTAATACTTACTACAGTTCAGTTTATTTTGTGTATACCATGCATATTCATAATTTGTTATGTTATATTGTATCAGAACTATGATGAATTTAAGCCTTTGTGGGACAGTTCACAATTTGGTTATCTTTTATTTTATTTTAAGGTGACTTGTTGTGTTATATGTGATTCATATTAAAGGACTTGTAAGGACAACATGGATAAAGGATTTTCTGGCTGCTCAATACCACAAGAGAAGTCAAATGCAGAAATTAATGCGGAGTTGGAAATATCAGACGCCTCATGTGAGGAAGACGCTTGTGATGCCCGTTTGAATTCCAAGATATTGGAAGCAAAACATTCAACAGGTATTTGATTTTTACCAGTGATAGCCTGGCAATGCGATTGACTTTGAGCTTATATTATGATTGGGTTTTAGATTATGGATGTGTTGTCCTTGCTTTGGATGGTTGACACAAGTTTATATGCCTTGCAGTTCAGCAACCGTCTTCTTGGGTGCTCATCAAGTCGAATTTGTTTCTGCATCGTAGCCGTAAAACTCAAACCATTGATGAGGTCAATGCCTAACTGAGTTTACATTTCTGACATTTAATTCATCATTATGATTGTATTTTGTTTTTGGCTGCAATACATATTATCCCCAGTGGGTTTCTGAATAACATAATCTGTCTATCACAAGCAATGAAAGGTGCATGAAAAGGGTGATTTTAGTGGCTGTGGCTATATCAGGGAATGGTTATTTGCTTAGATTTCTGGAAATGTGTTAGTCATTTCTGGGCTGTGGTGGAACTTTGGGAAATCCTAATTTCACTGTGGGAAGATATAAGGTTAACACGCAGCAGAAGTGATGAAACACAAATGGCTCATTCTTTTTCACTTGGTGAAATACTAACGAGAGTATAGCTTTGAGAAATATGAAATAGTGTTTGGATCCTACAGGTCAAACCAAAATTCCCACATAGGAAATATGATTTTAAATTGGATGTAATTGGGGCTGGAGGGGTTTGACATCTTAATTCCATTGATATAGAATTATTCTATAATTATTTACATTTTTTGTGATATTTTGCTGGGATGATTCTATGGTACAAACCCCTTAAAGGGTGTGTACCATACGCCCCGGTTATGAATCATGTGATGCTTACATATGAGGCTTTGTGGTGTTTGGTTATGAACTCGGTTATTGGGCTTTGTGGTGATTGGTTATGAACCGAAATGGCCTTGGTTATGATAGTTTGTGCTATTTTTGGTTATGAACCAATTTGGTCTGGGTTATTAGGCTTTGTGGTGTTTGGTTATGAACCGAAGTAACCTTGATTATGTGGTTTTTTTGGCGTTTTTGTGATGAACCAATTTGATCTTTATGAATCATTGTGGCTTAAATTTTAAGTGCATACTGTATGCACCCTTTTGGGGTGTGTACAGTGGCACTTCCCTTTTTGTGTATTTAATAGATTCTTATGATTATTGTCTATTACAGTTCAATCTTCCACCCAAGAAAATTGCTTATTAGAAAAGGGAAAAAATCGATCCATATCTTTTTCCTACGAATATTCTGTGTCAGGTTGTCAAAGCAATTGAGCTTTTCAAATATTTTTTTTTGCATATTTATGGCCTTTGCAACTAGTCTATAATAAATGTTAATTTTTTGTGATTGTTTTTATGGAAAATGATCACGCCAAAATTATCAACTTGGAGCCAGGCCATCCTCTGTTGGCATAAAGTGGCAATATTGGTACCTATTATGCTTTCTTTTGGTACTCCTTTTCACTTGATAGTAAAGGATTGTGGTTTTGTTTTTTGTTTTTTGTTTTCTTCTCTTTTCTTCCTCCCTTGAATTATATTGAGCCACATATGGCTTTGTTTTTGAGAATATTTTAGTTGTGGGGAGGATTGCAATTTCCTCTTGGAAGGATATATGGTTTCTAAAGCTCCATCCAATCCAAGGTTGCTCTAGGCACATGAAAAGAATTCTTACTTGGATAATTTAAGTTGGTATATGCATATCATTGTCAATTGTTGTTTATTTGTGTGGAAGAGGCTGGAATTGGTAAACACTATCTTAGTCATTGTGGAGTGGTATGGGGGGTGTGATAATATTGATGTTGTTTTGGTGTCTCTTGGCTTCTTTCAAGGAGTGTGGTTGAGCTCAAGCACTGTTTGAACAGGGTGGGGGTCAGCAAGAGGAGAAGGGAGGCATGAAAAGTGGCTCCTTTATGCTTGGTGTGGTTGATTTGGGGTGTGTGTAACTGCTGCTTCTTTGGTGTGTGTATGGTCCTTTCCTTATTTTTGGTGGGGACTTAGGTATACCTGTGTGACATATCCTTTTGATGTCTACTCAGTAAACTTTTAAAATAAGAAATTACTTCTCTATTTGCCATTTCTTTTGATACATATACAATTTCATCATCATGTAGTCTTTTCCATTTTGAAAATTATTTCCTGTATGTTTAAATGTGCAGAGTGTCCTAAATATTAAAGGCAAGCACCATGTAAATTTTATTTGATTGATTGGATGTGTATGAATATCTAGCCCCCAATTTTAAGATGCATAGTTAGCTATATGTTTCTTTGTGTGAGTGTACATCTGTTATTTTTGGGGCTGAGTGTTCTCTGTGTGTGTGTGACAACTGAGATCTTGGTAATGACATTATGGACAAATTGATACATTTGAGCTTGGCTTTGGCTATTTTGACTGAAGTGGTGTTTGTCAATAAACTTTTTTTTAGTTTTTATTTTATGTTTTTGATTTACTTCTACCAGATAATGGTTTGCCACTGCAAACGGCCTCCAGATGGCAGAGTGGGTTGTGGTGATAAATGCTTGAATCGAATGCTTAACATTGAATGTGTAAAAAGGACTTGCCCATGTGGGGAACTTTGTTCAAATCAACAGGTACACTCTCCTGTTACTAGATTTGTTAATGTTTTGTTTTATTGTTGTTGTTTTCTTTTTGTTTTAATTTTAATGAAGGGTCACCCTTTTATGCGACTATCTGGTTGCAGTTTCAGAAGCGCAAGTATGCCAAATTGCAGTGCTACCGATGCGGGAAGAAGGGTTATGGGCTGCAGTCACTTGAAGATATCTCTGAAGGACAATTTCTTATTGAATATGTTGGGGAGGTAACTTGGCACCTTTTCTTGAAAATATGTCTGTACCCCTCCTAATGTTATGATATAAACAAGAAAAACAAAAGTTGGACTTTTGATTACTAAATTTGGAGTCATGATTCTGCCATGTATTCATTAAAACATATACCCAAAATGTGCAAAATTAAATGGTGTATTCATGCAAATGTTACACTAGATGATGGATGGTCATGTAATGTATTTTTTCAATTGCAAATTGAGATGGAATTGGAGGTCCAGTCTTTGTATTTGATTGGAATGGATAATGTACGTATTATTGGACAATAAAGAATTTTGTAAGGATACAAATCTATTGTTAGTATGTCCTTGGAAGAAGTATACTTCACTTGACTGGCCTGAAACTTTCAATTTGGTTGTTTGCATCTACCCAGATGGATGTACATGCATGTTGATACTTTTGTTGATGTGTTCAAATGCATTTCCAAATGTCAGACTGTCATGTACATCCAGATATGCATGCATATCTAGATCTGTATATTTATATATTTGTGTACCTTATTGAACTAGACTTCTTATTGTCAATGTTTGTTCTAGGTGCTTGATATGCTAGCTTATCAGACACGACAAAGAGAGTATGCTTCAAAGGGTCATAAGCATTTTTACTTCATGACGTTGAATGGCAGCGAGGTTTGGCAATCTCTGCTTTTATGTTATTTTGGAACATAAACAATTTTTTTTGCTGTAACCAGTTGAGTAGGTTGTGGTTCAATCTACTATAATTCTATAAAGAAACTTCTGGTCATTCTATATTTTACTCATTTCAAGGTGCTTCATGACCTCGAGTTATGGAACTTGTAGTAATTGGGACAGCATTACTGGTCTGTTCTTGTGTGGCATAAATGAAAAACTTCAAAATTTGGTTTGTCAAATATTTCCTTTTATTAGTTTTTTTCTTATTTGTTTCTCTTATAAGTTACACACATTTACAGTGCACGCAGAAGTAATCCTGGACAGTTTGTTGTTACCTGTAAACTAATTATTGTATTTCAACTTGGTCATTCAACATCAATAATTTTAAAGTGAAGGAATTCTTATTTTATTGTGTTTTTCGTATTATCAAAAGAATATTTTCAATTCTCCTTGTTACTTTCCAAAATCTGTTTTGCTCATCTTTGTATATGTCCTCATAGAGGTGTGTAGCTGACACAGACTGAGTTGAGTCTTGGATGTTTGATTTTCACTTGGCAGAATTTGGATTTTCAGCTTAACATAATATCAGCTGAACTTGTGCAAGTGTGACTTGTATTAGCTTGGCTCTAACTGACTCAAAAACTCATAGTTGGAAGGAAAAACTCCTTGCACTTTTCTCTTCTGATGAAAACAGGAATGCTTTCATTGCAAAGTCAAAGAAGTAATAGACTAGAATCATATGAAATCATTTTCATGGTTACATTCTTTCTCCTTCGGAAATAAAATAGCCAGAGTAGGCTGGAGCCCCTCAATTAATTGTCAAGAGTTTTAAAAGACATAGTTAAACCTGCACCATTTTGCACTTGCTTACTGCATGCCATGAAAATGTATTCTGGTAAGTCTCTTTGAATTCAGGGCTGCTACAGCTGCGTACTGATTCTCGTAGCTTATTATAAGCCTTATTAGTCTAACTTGACATTGCTACTTAAGCTTGAGCTGTTACTGTTAACTAGTTGCATCTGAGCAAATCCTCCTACCCCCTAAAGAAAGTTCAAATGAATGTGAATTTGCCTTCTTTAAAAAAAAAAATAATAATTATAATCTTGCATTCCCTTATTGTACACATATAACACATACATTGAATTAGTTTCCTATACTTTTGTTACAATTTTTTTTTTTTTTTTAATATTTCAATTTGAATCATCTTATCACCATGCATTTGTGTGTGTATACTCATTTTCATTCACATTCAATGAATAGCATAATTTTATAATTGTAAGATTTTGTTGTGTGGTTGTTATACCTCTTCTAATAAAATATTGACGTTTTCTCTTTTTCAGGTAATAGATGCATGTGCTAAAGGGAATTTGGGCCGTTTCATAAACCATAGTTGTGATCCTAATTGCCGTACAGAAAAGGTGAACATACTTGCAAGCATGAATTCCTATGTATTTTGTGTTCTGTATTTGTTCCATCATATACTTTGTAAATATATTTGAATGATCCAGTTCAGAATGGATTTCTCGCAAAAGCAGAAGATCTTATTTTATGGATCTCTTAGTGCTTATATTCATGAATAGTCACCTTTTCTGTAGATTTGTTACTTTGTGCTTTGTTTTCTGCCATTCTTTTCTTCTTTATTTTTCTTCATTTCTTTCTTCTGATTCCCATTGGGGAGACCTCTGTCTTTCTTCTAATGTATTTTTATCAGTGATGGACGGAAAAATAGATAAGACTTTGGTGCTATAGTTGTTGAATGAGGTAGCATTTTTATTGTTTGAAAAGGCTGATACTGACTTACACCAAGACATATAAATGCCTGCCACTGTGGATGATTATGATAGATATCCTTAAAAAAAAAAGTTGCATTTCACATATGATTTTCTGAATTTTGTTTTAGGCATTTTATGTTGAATTGCTAAGAAGCACGAACACTTCTTAAAAGGTAGCATGTCCATGTTGGATAGTGACACTTACGTGATATTTCCCAATGTGTGTTGAGCACACTTCAAAATGTGTCCTATTATATTTTAATCTTTTTTAGGCCTGGACACATTTCGGACGCTTGGGGGGAAATTTGTGTCCATCGCTAAGACACAAAGGAACACATTACAAATTTGAACAACATACATTAGGTCTAGTCATAAAAGAAAAACAAATGTGTTTTGTGTAAACTTGTAATTTTATCATTTTAGATCACCAATTGTTCCAAAAGCTTAAGCTGTTAGGAAATATTCCCAATAATAGATATCAAGCAAATAGTCCCCCTCACATGTGACCACGTCTTCTACATGGAGAGGCAATGCAGACCAAATAGCACAATAACAGAGATACCACGGGAGTCTTTTCTCTCAGCACACCGTTGTTCTCTATTTTATTCTTTCATTTTATTTCTTCTACTTCTCTAATCTAACTTGTTATCAGAGATCTGGTTCCAGGAGGTTCTGAGTCCAAATCTCATCTCCCCTGTGATCTCAGTTATTGTTGACTCTCTTTGTTGGTCACCTTATTCTTTTAGTTTGTTTGCCTCAACACATGCAAGACAGGGTTCCATGTGAGGGGGACTGTTAGCTTGATATATGTTGTTGGGCTTATTTCCTAACAACTTATACTTATGGGACAATTGGTGATCTAACATGGTATCGTGACAGACAATAGATGTAAAATTTGATGTATAGAGAAATAGAGAGAATGAATTATGTATTATTGATTGATATAATGTTCTATATTTTACAATGATTCATGATTCCTATATATAGAAGAGGGTGAGTGTGTAGTAGGTAAGGAGTAGGTGAAGTGGAGGTGGTAGTGGTGTAGTGGGTTAGGTTTAGTGGAGTAGGTGAGGTGGTAGTGGTGTAGTGGATTAGGTTTAGTGGAGTAGGTTTAAGTGGGTGTAGTGGGTTAGGTTTAGTGGAGTAGGTTTAAGTGGGTGAAGTAGGTGATAAATTTTAACAATAGATCATGTGTTCAAATCTCATTGCATACTCGATAATTAAAAATATTTGCACTTGTTTAGCCCATTTATGAAGGAGAGTCTAGTTACACGTGATGGGGCGTGTTGTGGGTATGAATTAATAAAGTTACCACATCTTCAGTTTGTGGTTGACAATTTAACAATTATTGATTTATATTCTTGTTTTGTGTATGGAAGATTTGTTGATAATGACATTCATATTTGGTGATAACAATATGAGAATTATATGTTCAAAATATTGAAAAACATGTTTTGTTTCTGAATTTTTGTTAGTGGATGGATGCCTTATTTTGCTAGGGCAATACTGATGCCTTTTGCTTAATTGTTTCTTTGAAGACATCAAGCCAAAAAGCTAATATCAATGTCTGGTACAATAACTTCAGTCCTTCTGTTGATTGCATTCAAGAGAATTATTTGTAGGGTTGAGGATATAAATAGGAAAATGAATTTTAGTTAATTGTTAGGCATTAGAGTTATTGAAATTTATAAACTTGTTAAAGCCAAACAATATGTTTGTCAGATTTGTGGGTTTGCAAAGAGGGGCTCTCATTGATCAAATGGTCTTGAGGTGTACAGATCAAAAAGGGTAGTGGTTTGGTGATTTTTTTGGCTGAAACAATATATCTGATTTGCATGGCCAAATTAGGGAATGACTCATCAAGTGCTTGTATTGTCATGATGATTTTTTTAATGTCCATGTCTTTGCAAACTCATCTGACCTTTTGAAGTAATTTTAATGGCTAATCAAGCAACTTAAATCGGAACTCTTTCTGGATTGATACTCTGAAGAAAGAGATGCAAGGGAAGGGATCGAATTTGTAGGATGAAAGGCCTCTGCATCTTGGGATATTCATGCGGATCTAATGTTGTTAGACGTGGCTCCGGATCAATAAGGAAAGAGCTTACCTTGAATGGCTTGTTTTTCGTGTCAGGGGCATGAATTGAAACCACTGATGCTTACTCATGTGCTGGCCAGTCCGGTTAAGTCAAATTGGATCTGTCAACTGAATAGTTAGGCTTGGTTTGAGATTGAATCATTTCCTGTGACTCAAACGAAAAGAAGGAAGCAGACCAAAGCCCTGGCATAGTGAAAATTGCCCAAATCATTGTGGTCTAAAAGTACCCATTCGATAATAAAAGGTTAAAGGGCCTCCAACAACTACAAATAGAGCTTCTTTCATGATGGTAAATTCTAACACTTGGTTTGAGATTGAATCATTTCCTGTGACTCAAACGAAAAGAAGGAAGCAGACCAAAGCCCTGGCATAGTGAAAATTGCCCAAATCATTGTGGTCTAAAAGTACCCATTCGATAATAAAAGGTTAAAGGGCCTCCAACAACTACAAATAGAGCTTCTTTCAGTCCCTATTTTGCAAAGGGCGATAGGGCCAAACTTAGAAGTCGGGGTCAGAAAGAGCTTTGAGTAGCCATGGATCTCGCTATAAGACCTGAGAGAATTGAGCAAGGGATGTCGTGAACGGTGGGTGGTCACAGGAATTAACCTATTCATAGAGTGATCCTCTGCTTTTCTAGCTGATTGAAGCATGGATAGCCTTCACATAATTAACATGGCTGTCTTGGGCAAAACAAACTTAGCCCTACATTCCATTGACCAGCTCAAACACAAGCTGGATCAGTTCACTTCCACACCTCAAGCGCTGTAGCAGCAGCCAAGCAATTCTCTTATCTATGTCATTTCTCTTGACACGATACAGCAGATGACTTTCGAGAGTCACTTAGCCCCTTGACCTCTTCTCTCAAAAAGGATGCTGTGCGGCGGGCAAGTTGATTGAAGTTAGAGGGGGAGGGAATGTTTAAAGCTGTTGTAGTATGGCTTTTCATTTCTTGTTTGTTTTTTCAATAAGTAGTCAGCTGCAGGCTAAGAAGCCTCGTAATCAGACTTAACATTGATTGTAGTAGTTGTTGGAGAGAAGGCACCGTCAGACCTGCAAGCACCAGATAGTATGCAGTGGCAATTTTCAGTCAGAAGTGGAGTGACAAAAGAGGCCTACTTTACGTATACTGGATTAGTACATAGTGAAATACCTAACAAACTGCACAAAATTTTAGTGAACTATTGAAGCTATTCGTGTGATTGATCAGACATTCTATCAACTGCTGACCTAACTGGGAGATTGTCGTTGAATTTAATTGCGAGTTGCTCTTTCTCTTTCTATAACTAGGTTGGGCCATCTGATTACAATGCTCAACAATTCTATTAGTCTGGTACTAGTATTTTTTATGAATAATTTTTTTAATCTTCTTTCTTTATTTGATCATTCATTTTAAAATTGTCAATCTCTCTCGAATGTATGCCTGGTTTTTGTCAAATCTTTTTGACCACCTTCGAAAATAAATTGGAATTCCGTCTTGACATGATGAGTAGTGATGCCCACTTGTAGAGCATAGTCCTCCCTACAACATACACCAAAATGTTAGCAGTTGGAGGCTATAGACTATGGCCTTTGATAGTTCATCCCGTCTTAACTTGATTTGGCTATACTATGATGAAATGAATATTAGGAAATATCGTATAATGTTTTTATCAAATGTCGGATAAATATTGGAAATTAGCTAATCCGACAATGAAACTATTGTGGAGAAAAGGTGAAGAATCTTTTCCTAAAGATTTAAATGCATAAGCATACAAGATTTCCAAAATTTTCTATTCAATGATTGCATTATAGCTTTGTGGTGGTTATGTAGAAGTGATTTATCCTTACATGGATCTATAAAGCAATGTTGGCACCAGGTTGCCAAGATCAAAGTCCGACTAATCGCCAGGGGTGCACAGGCCCTCGGCAAGGATGAGTTTTTTGTTTTTGAAGAGAGAAAATAAGGATGGAGTTACGTATGCTTCTTCTTATCAGAAATAGACTAATGTTATTATAGAATGTGATTTATGTGGAGAAAGATAAGCAACTTGAGCATCTTTATTGTCCCAAAACTATCGAGTTTGGAGTATATGCTAAACTTGACCAACTCCCATCTTCACTAGCTAACAATGGTTTTTGATACAAATATAGAAATTTTGTGGTATATAAAAGTTCAAATTAAGAAGGAAACTATTTATTGTACTTTATGGTTTATGGAAAGTGAAAAACTGTTAAAATCCACCTACTCTCCACCTACTTCACCCACTTAAACCTACTCCACTAAACCTAACCCACTACACCACTACCACCTCCACTTCACCTACTCCTTACCTACTACACACTCACCCTCTTCTATATATAGGAATCATGAATCATTGTAATAGATATCAATATATATCAATTAATAATACAAACATTTCTCTTTATACATTAAATTTCTACAAAAACAATAGTTGATGCATGGTGACAAAAGTAAAGGAAATTGGAAGAAAGGATAACTTCATTGATTGTTTCCCCTCTAGTATTGATTGACACAACTTTTGTTGGCTTTGGCAAAATCAACATGTAGAGGTAGCACAGAGTTCCTATAAAGTAGTCACTTTGGCATGGAATAAATGTAAAAATGGTATATAATGGTACAAGTGGGTTCTGTTACAAATTCTGGTCGGAGTCATTATGGTAAAAGATTAACTTCGATTACCTATTTAAGGGTTGTGATGGTTTATTATAATGCTATAATTGTGAAGCGAAGTCACACATCACTTGGATACAAAGGGGATGTGTAGTATACAAGCGAAGTGTGTAGTATATAAGTTATTAGATGTGAGATTTTTTTTTTTGGATAAATTAGATGTGAGATTTTTTAGATGAGACAGGACTACTATATGGATGCATTTCATTACTTTGGTGGAAAATAAATGATCTTTTTTCTTAAAAAAATACAAGATGGTGATTGGACACATTTGGGTGTTTAATCTTTTATAACATATTTGTGTTCTTTTTGGTTGAGGAAACTTCATGCTGTTTAATCTTTGTTCTTTTGCTTAGCCATGTTAGATTTTAAAGTTAGTCTATTCTTTAAGTTTATTTAGTTGTGCATTTATATACACACATAATGTTGGTGTCTCTAATATTTTGACATATCAACTATGATTTTTACTTACTTCTATTTTTTGATAAGTAAACTAGTACTTTGTGCTATTGTGTCTTGGTGCTTTGATTTTATTTCACTGACAGAAACTGGTGTATTGTTTGCTGGAGTTGCAGCTTCCCACAAAAACTTCTATATGTTTACGTATATTTTGCATATATATGTTTGGGTTTTTGTGACACTAATAAGTTTACTTTTGAATCTGCTGAAACAGTGGATGGTGAACGGAGAAGTTTGCATTGGACTCTTTGCATTAAGAGATATTAAGAAGGTATATTCCCCCACAGCTTAGTCATTTCCATGCTTAGCAGGTTGAATCTAGAATGGCTGTACTACTTTGACATCAAGACATGTTGGGATTGCTTCTTGCTTCTCACTGTAAATCATTTGCATTAGTTGTAATTTTGATGGTTGGAAATTGATTTGGGAAGTGAAATTCTGAATTGGATTGTTGAATGGGAATTTTTGAACCTTAAGATATTGCCAATGCTGGAAAGCAAAACTTCTTTTCCCTTCCTTGTCCCCAACACTTGGTTGAAGAAAGGATGTCTACTGATTGTACTAAGTATAGTTGATAAGTAAAATTGATAGCAGTCAATATCATTTCCTATTATTCTGTCCAGCCCAGTCAGTGTTGTTATAGTGGTTGATCACACTAACATTATAAGTAATGTCTGGACGAGTGACAGTGAAATAGTGGGTGATTACCGCCACCGGTTATGACTGGTTACAGCTGTGTGATAGAAATTCACAATCATAATGACTGCCATTGTTACGTAAAGGCCGTAATCATGGTTATTAGAATTGCGATCCTACGATCCTACATTATAAAACGATCCAGATCGTTGTAGGATTGATGTTATAATAGGATCGCAAGTAGGATTGTATAGGATCGTAGTTAGGATGGTAAGTTGGATCGTAGATTTTGTGATTTTTCATCTTGTTTTTAATATGTTGTATTTTTATCTTTTTTTTAATAGAAAGTAGGATCTTACGATTCTCGATCCGATCCTACAATCCGATCCATGAGACCCTCTCACCGATCCTACCTAGGATCCTGATTTTAACATCCTTGGCCGTAATGGCCATTACAGAACTGTTACAGCACTGTTATGGCCATCACAACCGTTACGCTTATGTTTTTAGCAAATTTTGTATATAAGGCCAGCTTGTATAGTTTTTCTTGTTTTCAGCTATAAAAAGCACAAAGAAGGCATATAGAATTTATTCTCACTTAGATTTACATTTACATGTTCTTAGATTTAAAGTAGAAAGATGAAAAGATTTGTCTGTTCTCTTGGAAGAGCAAGTTGTTTTTATCTTTGGCCTAGTAAAACTAAAATTTCAAGGATCATCTGCTATTCGCCTCCCTTGACCCTTGGCTGTTTTGTTCATATCATGTTTAAGTTTTTACTTCTTTTCTACATGTATACATTGTTTAGCAACATTATTGATTACGAGTAGGAATCTTAATACAATTTTTCTGCGCACTTCCTATGTGCCTTCATCTAATGAATGAAGATACTTGGGACTTACGCGTGCATTTGGTGTTCTGGACTTTGTTGTCTTTGAAGAGATTGCTTCTTGTTGTCTATATAAATATTTTGATCCCCTCTTTTGCGGGTGATTTTATGAATTTTACTCTATATCCTTAATCTTGGGGTTTTCTTGTGTCAGGGTGAAGAAGTGACATTTGATTATAATTATGTGCGGGTTTTTGGGGCTGCTGCAAAAAAATGTGTCTGTGGCTCATCTCAGTGTCGGGGTTATATCGGTGGTGATCGGCTGAATACTGAAGTAATTGTTCAGGGTGATTCAGATGATGAATATCCTGAACCTGTAATGGTTTATGAAGATGGTAAAATTGATAATGACTTTAAAAATTTAATATCTGCAACCAGTTCCTTTGATGGTACAGAAATGCAAATTGCAGACCGTATGTTATCAAACAAAGATAAGATGGACAAGTCTGCAACTGCTGTTGGACCATTGGAGAGTACCACCGAACTGCAAACTACAAAGATATTGGGAGAAGATGAAGATGAAACTGATAAATCTGCAACTGCTGCTCAACACGTAGAGATTTCCACAAAATCTGCATGTGGTGCACAATTGCAAATCCCTTGGGAAGTGGAGAACTCAATGGAAAAGTTAACACCTTCTGTTCGACTAGTAGAAACAATTATATTGAGTAAAACCATCTCTGATGCTCAGCAAGAGTCTGTTCAAGGATTAGAGACTCCTGCACTCACTACAACTAGTAGAAAATCATTATCGGATACAACTGATGCTAAGAAGAAGTGCAAATCTGACACAATTGAAGACAGGCACATTTCAAAGTCACATTCCCTCGTGAAAACTTCTCGTTCGTCTTCTTCAGTTAAGAAGGGAAAATTGAATAGTAATTCTATGAATGTCAACAAATCTGAGATGATAGTCAATAAATCTCATGTGCTAGCTTACAAACCCAAAAAACTACTGGAAGGTCCTCTAAGTGGTCATTTTGAAGCTGGTATGGGATTTTCTATCTTCTTCTTTTTACCCTCTACATATAGGGATGTTACACAAAACTTCTTACTATAATGTTGTTTTGCCCCTTAATGGTTCCAGTTGAGGAGAAACTTGACGAGTTGCTAGATTCTGATGGGGGAATAAGCAGAAGAAAAGTAAGCAATTTTTTGCTCATGTTATATCAAATGCTTTTTCTTTTTTTGGTTTTAATCTTTTCTTTTTCTGAGACTTACTTTTTTGTAGATTATGGAACTTGATAAGTTATATTTTTGTGTCACATAATCACATTGTTCTGTGCTTTCATGTGCTTTTTAATGGTAACGAGTCCAAAACTTCAGAGGTCATTTTACTTGTCAAAAAAAAAGAAAAAAGAGTTCTTTAGATCTTGTTGCAGGTTCATCCTATCATCATGCTTAGTATTCCCTTTCTCCTCTGTGTTTACATTTTAATGGGCAATATATTCCTATTCATTTTCATGGTAGCTTCTATGCCACGAATGTCACAAGAAGCCTCAATGTTGTTTGAAAGTCCTGTTTATTTGTTAGCTTCACCTTTATGAAAGGAGGACTTGGGGTGTCAAATGATGGATTCAATTTTTTACTGAAGTATATGTCCCTCTCTCACTTTGATTTTGAAGTGTTTTATGTTGCTGTGAGTAGCACTCATATATCTTTCTTTGCCACCATGTTTGATGCATGTTTAATGACAAGGTTGCCAATATATTTAAATGCATCTTATTTTTCAACAGGATGCCCCCAAAGGCTACTTGAAGCTTCTTTTTCAAACTGCAAGTTCAGGTGATCGTGGCAGTGGTGAAGCAATTCAGAGGTTATTTTTTTTTATCTTGCTCTTCATTTAGTAATAGTTTCTGATAATTTGATTCACTTACTTGAGCTCAGGCAACTTATTGTTTTATAGAAGTTATTTATTGGTTTGTGTATTAATGTACATATTTGTTGTACAGTAATCGAAATCTTTCCATGATCCTTGATGCACTCTTGAAGACAAAATCACGAATGGTTCTGGTTGACATAATCAATAAAAATGGTAAGAGTTTTCTGATTTTTGTTGTGTTGCATGCAATTCTCTACATTTCTGTCATGGATGTAATTAAATCGTAGTCGGACACCCTTTCATGTAAATATGACTGCTGCTTTACTTTTTAGGTTTGCAGATGTTACACAACATAATGAAGCAGTACAGAAGGGACTTCAATAAGATTCCAATTCTTCGAAAGCTGCTCAAGGTATGTGTAACACTCTGGTTATATTTTTCATGTTCTGAAAATAAACAAAGCAACTTGATGTAATTTTTGGAATTTGCTGTGGCAAGATCCCATAGTGGCTATGTCCATTTCTGCAAGTCTTAAGGCTCAAAAAAGATTGGATATGGATGGGTTTGGAGTAGAATTACCAAACTGAATGTGATTGCAGTGAGGTTGGAAAATGATCCATTCGCTTTGTTTTTTTTTTGGAGGCCAACAGCTACCATCCTTCTATCCATTTTTTATTTTTTTAAAATTTTTTATTTTGAAAAAACAAGACAATGAAAGTTTGTATCATATTTAAAGAGATTTGCATGTTTCGTTGGGAATCATACCAGCCAAAATTAGCTATCAGTTTGGATTTCTGTACCACAAGTTCAACCAATTCTAAAAGGGGTTCACCTCTAATACAATTCTTTATTTCTCTTTATACATTAAATTTCTACATGGTATCAGAGCAAGGTTAAGAAGCTAATAATTCTGCTTCACCGGCGGGCGGCAGCCTCGCCTTGGCCGCCCGCCGGACCTCTACACCTGCCTTTACTCTCTCTCTGCCAGAACCCTACATATAGAAGCTCTTTCTCATGGTCTCTCTTGCTCTCAGTTCCAAATACTTGTGAACCATTAATTTTCTTCTATCTTGAGTTTTCCCTTTGGTTTCATAACCATGAAAAGGATGGACCTTTTCTGTGCACTACTACACACTCACCCTCTTCTATATATAGGAATCATGAATCATTGTAATATACATCAATACATGAATCAATAATACAATTCTTTATTTCTCTTTATACATTAAATTTCTACAACCTCAAAGCAGCCATAATATGCCACCTCTACGTTTTATGTTTGCAATTAGATTTTCATGGATGATTTTTAATTTCGTGCTAAGCTATGATTAGGAATCTAGAAGCACAATCAACAGCTACTTTTTCCTTTTCCTATGCAGGTTTTAGAGTATCTGGCAGTGAGGGAGATACTTACCTTGGAACACATTATTGGAGGCCCTCCTCATCCAGGGGTGGAGAGGTAAGAACATATTATCAAACAATTCTTTATTGAGTTGCTTTACTTCTTTGATGTAATTTCTTCTCTTTTAATGGCTGCTAGTTTCTAAGTTGAATCTGCAATGCCACAGTATGTGTGCGTCCACTGTGTGTGTATGGTCTCTTCTTCTTCTTCTTCTTGTGTGTTTGGGGGAAGGGGGATAATAGCTTTTGCTTTGTCGTTTCTGATTATCCTCTGTTACATCAACAGTAGGCTTGTGATTGGATCGTTTCCCAACTAGAATGACCTAAAAAAATATGGGAAACTGGAAGACATACCTACAAGGCTTAAAGCTCTTGAAACCTTTTGACTGACATGAAGGTTGGGACAACATTAGCTTTTTATTGAGCTTTTTTAAATTAAGCAATAAGCAATAGAATCAAACTGTTAAAATTACTGAAACCATGTATAAGTAGATTCTGTATTCTCTACTGCAATTAACAAATGAGAGAGCATAAATTCAGGGTAAACTAGCCTACGTCTACAAATGAGAGAGCATTACCCACTATAGTAATAAATAGATTATAGGATAGAGGATATATCGCAGCGAGCATGCAAGAAAGGATTTAGAGAAAGAAGGGGAAACAAGCAAGCACGAATTCAAGACAAAGAACAGGGCAGAGATTACCAACTGCTGCAATACAGTTTTTCAGACACTTTTTGCTTCTCTGAATGTTTATTTAATTCTCTTTGCAAGAGTGCAGTTCTCATGTACTGGTATTTATTATCTATTCCTGAGATGTGTGCTTCTGTGCAGTTTTAGGGAGTCGATTTTGACATTGACAGAACATGATGACAAGCAGGTACTATCTTTAACCTTTCTCAATCATACATTGTTTGAGATGCTATTGGGTAGTGTGCACCAATTTTAGTCACCTCTATGTACTGAATGCTGACACTATATTTTGATTATTGCTTAATGGAAAGATGTACATGATATTGATAAATCCATTTTTCTATGCCTTCTTTTTTTTCTTTTTCTTTTTTTAATTTTAAGAATTATTTTGACAAGTATAGGATGTTAGTTTTTCTATTTATTGAACCATCCTCCTGGTTCACAAATAAGTGGCAGTGTGGCACAGTGCAAATCAAAGTCGATTGTTTATTGGTTATATGATAGCCTTGGGTTGATCCCAATTTGCAGATCTCTTGTTTGTTCAGGTTAAGTGATTGATGATGAAACTAAATGGCTTCTAATAATCAGTCACCATTGATGCTCTCTTTGTACATCTTGCCCTCCCAGAACCCCAGTTTAGCAAGAGTCTCATGCACTGGGTTGCCTTACATATATATATATATATATATTTATCAATCCATGGAGCTGTGTTCCACTTTTGTTGTTGTCCTCTGTCTTTTTTTATTCTTTTTCCTTTTTTTTTCATTTAATGAATGTGATGTTTTGATTCATCAAAAAATTAGATATCTAATGGTTGCCAGGGGTTGGTGCATTTTGTTGTGATCAGAATTTTCAACTGATGTATAATGCACATTGTACTGTTTACCTCATTGTTTTGTTCTTTTTATTTGATGCTTGTACTGATTGGAGTTCTCCCCATGTAATCTTCTTTCCTTTCAACAACATTTATTCAGTAAAAGCTACAAATATTGGCTGAAAACGTTTTCTTGTTTTGGATTTTGATCATTTTATTGCAAATACAGGTCCATCAAATTGCAAGAAGCTTCCGAGATAGGTGGATTCCCAGGCATGCCAGAAAAAGCAGCTACATGGACAGGAGTGATGGCAGGGTGGAATTTCACCAGGGTTCAAACTGCATTAGATCCTCACCATCATACAATCCTTGGCGTGATCAGGGTGTAAAAACTACAGAAGAAACAAATTGCATCAAGGAATCAATTGTTGCAACAAATTCAGTCGATGCAGGTACTGTGGAAGGCGGCTCTTCATCCTGTGCCAGTGGTTGCCCAACCAATGGGACAAAAACTCGCAAACGTAAAAGCCGATGGGATCAGCCAGCAGTGGAAAAGGAACCAAAGGTTCAGCCTAGTTTGTTGCAAATATCACATTCAGGCCTACAACCTGAGATTGGTCAAGTGGTAGACCATAAGAATGGAATACATAGAGAGGACAAACCTTGCTCTGGTTATGTGCACGATATCTCCCAGCAGATGGAAGCTAATAGGGCAGATGATGGGGGACAGAATCTTGAGGATGATGATGTCCCTCCTGGATTTGCTCCTCCTCGTAATGGGCCTTCTGTTCCATCTAATGCTTCTTCAATGGTTACTGATATTCACCGAGAAAACAGAATCCCTGCTAAGTGTCCTCGTGAAGTGGGACATCCTCAGGCAAGATTCTTAAATCGCTTGCCTGTCTCTCATGGGATTCCATCATCTGTGGTACACCAATTTGGGACACCTCAAGGAGAAACTCTAGAGAGTTGGGTTATTGCTCCAGGTGTGCCTTTCCGTCCTTTTCCACCATTACCTCTTCATTCCCGTGACAAGAGAGCATCTCCAGGTTTTGCTGGTAACCCAAATCAACCTGCAGAAAAAGGTGAACAGGGTAGTCATCATCGTGCCATTTGTCACTTGGATCAAAACCCTCCAAGCACTTCTGGTGCCACCCCAGCAGATGTGGAAATTCAAGGTGGGTATAATCAACACACTTTTCAACGGGGAGTTGGGGGCTCGTATAGCTTGGGAAGGAGGTATTTCAGGCAGCAGAAGTGGAATAGTTCGATACAAGGCCCCACCTGGATGTGTAAAAGAAACAATTGGGGATTCATGGGAAACAAAAATTCAAGAAATGGGATGTGCAGCATAGGTGTAGCAACCGTGGCAAATGAGGTCAAAGGTCCGAATAGTTCACAAAATGTAAGCACTGGAGTGGGAAGTGCTTACAATACTTTTCACCAGTATCCACACCTGCAAAATTATCATTGATTTATAGGAAATTTTCCGAGGAGCTTCAAAAATTTCTTCTATGCTCCCTGTGATGTACTCTCGATTCTTTATTACCTGGATTTTATTTTCAATGGATTTTTTTTAAAAAAAAATCTTTTTCTAATCACCATTCCTATGTGTCTCTGTCCCCAGTATTTATAGCTGCAATGTGCTCATTTGGATTTGGCAACTGGCACCTCAAAAAGGCAAGTGTACTTCATTATGATCATTATTTGAAGGAAAATGATGTTTATGCAGAATGTTTATACAGCATTTTTTACAAGGATGATGTGGCGGTGACATTTTTAGAATACAAGTTACCTTGGTAGGTTTTTTGCTTTAAAATGATAAAATCAAGACTGATCACATCATTATGTACTGATTTTATATACAATCTTTCTATTTGTATATCATTACTCTTATTTGAATTGAAAATAAAATAGATTTGACAAATGAAGCATTTCTTGTGGTGGTCTCCATGGATTTGGTGCATTTGCTGTGTTACTCTGTTTTTCTTGTTGGTGGTTGATGAGCAAAATTAAAGATGAAATTATGATTGGATCAGGAATAAAGCATTGAGTAGTCTCTCCTGCTGGCCTGTATGGATTTGGTCCATTTGGTGTGTTAATCTGTTTCTGTTAATTAATTTTTTAAGTAGCTTTTTTATTTTTTTAGAACTTAAAAAAACAGTTGATTTGATTGGTAGTTGTTACAAAAGTTCATTTTGTTAGGGTTAATTACACCAAGATCTCGTCAACTATTTATAAATATTAACTTACCTCATTTACGAACTTGTACACGTTTTGACTCTGTCAACTATGCATATGTATTATTTTCACTTGCCTCTAAACCACCTTTAGAAGGGGTGCATTTATAAAATTTTTATAGTTGAGAAACTTAATATGAATGTATTTATAGATGAGGGGAATAAAGTGTTATTCGCTAATAGTGAAGTGGGGTTTTTAGTATAATTAACCATTTTTGTTATGGAGAAAGTTGTCTTTTTGAAGTTTTGTTTTTGTTGTAGCTTTTGTGAGAAATTATCATGTTATCCTTATTAACAAAAGGAAACAAATTTTTTTATGCTTTATTTTTTGGACTTCTTTAACCAAATGGCTACTTATTTATGGTTTTGGTATGTTAGGTTTGTTTGTTTGTTTGTTTTTTATTGTTTTATTTTTTTTTTTAAAAAAAAAAGAGAAATTTTTCTTAAAAATGGAAACTAGATTGACAAAAATAGATATTAAAAAAATATTTTTAAATTTTAAAAAAATTATTTATTACCTCCTAAAAGATAAAATTCTATAAAAATGATAAGTATTTTTTATTATTATTATTTTTATTTCTTTCACTAATTTGATTTTTAGTTATTTTTTTTAAATATGATTTTTTTTATATGTATAAAAAATCAAATCAAACATGACCTCAAGTTGCTTGTTGAAGTTTGTTGAATTCCTTGGAAAATTCACCAACTAGTCCCAAATTTGGTTAGAAGTTGGATTTGACATGGGAAATTATGTTAGTTCAGGGAAGTCACTCTTTCAGTCTTCATTTTAGATTTTTGGAGAAATTTGTAGAAGTAAAATAATGGGAAAAAAGAATTTGCTGTGTGCTTCATTTCCCTTTTCTCATTCCTTTCCTTTTTGGCTTATAAATTCAAGATCCAAACAAAATTTAAAGTCAACCAGTTCTTTCAGGTGCCTTGAAACTTGCATTTGCTTGTGGTTGAAAATTAAGGCCTTGTTTGGAAATGGTTTCCTATGCAGAAAAAAAAACATTAGAAATACGCTTTTATTGTATTCTTTCTTTTGAATAGATTAGATTGTGTTTGATTCATGAATTTATATATATATTTTTAATTTCCATTTAATTTATAATCTAAACACAATTTTGAGATTTTTTTAGAGCAACTAGCTAAATGTCAATGGATAATAGTTCAATGTGAGATTTGGGATAAAACTAGGGTGGTAAAATGAAAGTTATTCAAATCTGAGTCATTTTCAATTCTTTAAAAATTTATTTAAATTTGACTAGTATAAAAGAATTGTTTGAAATTTCAGTTAAACACGTTTTTTTGAATTGATGGTTCGATTTACTCTAAAAACCCATATATATAAATAAGGATTATGTAACTCGTGAAAAATTTGTAAGTATTATACATTTTACATAAAAATACAATAAATCTGAAAACTCTTATATATAAATAAGGATTATGTAACTCGTGAAAAATTTGTAAGTATTATACATTTTACATAAAAATACAATAAATCTGAAAACTCTTATATATAAATAAAGATTATGTAACTCGTGAAAAATTTGTAAGTATTATACATTTTACATAAAAATACAATATATCTAAAAACTCTTATATATAAATAAGGATTATGTAACTCGTGAAAAATTTATAAGTATTATACATTTTACATAAAAATACAACAAAGAATGTATAATATTTTTAAGTTTACACGTTAATAATACACACGTTAACAACACCCTATAAAATAAATAAAATCATTCATGAGATGGCAATAAAATGGAATTCAAATGAAAAGGAAAAATTATACTGTAAATTCATATGATTTTAATAAAATTTCACTTTTAGTCCTTATACTTTTTCAGTGTAATCACTTTGTCGTTGTCATCATCATCATCCTTCAATATCTCAAACCAAAAAACAACACATGCAAAATAACGAAAGCCAGTGTGAAAATCGACACCGGTACAATTTATACCATACAAATAATTTGACATCTTTTCTTCTTCATTTTCTTTTATTTATTTTATTTTATTTTATAGGTCCATAGTTTACATCTTAGACAGCAAATTTCCTTTGTTACACACACACCCAACGCCTCCGTAGCCATTCTGAGTTCTTTGTCAAAATCTCCTAAGCATATACTTCTAATACGAAAAAAACAGTTTCTGAAAATAAAACCGAAGTGTTTTTGATCAATATCTCCTAAGCATACTTCTGATCCGAAGAAAACACCATGTTTCCAACAACGATTTGTACTTCCTCCAACCGCTAAAGTACTTTCCGATCACCTTCTTATAACTCGGCCGCTTCTTCACCACATTCAAGTACCTGGCAATATTTGGCCGGCAATGAATATACTCATCTTGCAAATTCAAGAGCTCTAATCGAGTCAACACGGGAATGAACATAACATCTGCCATAGTAAACTCTTCGCCAACTAAATATGATGTCTCACTCAGTTTCGTCTCAGCTTCATCGAGAAGCATTACCAGACGTTCCTCACTTCGTCTCAAAACTTCCGGGTTTTTCAACTTGTCTTCTGTCTCATATTCTTCTCTCAGCTTACGGTGGTATGCACTTGCTAGATCAGGAGATTCAGCCATACGGGAAATTACCACTCTCCGTATAAATTTAGAAACAAAAAGGCGATACTTCTCTGGAATGTGGGAGAGAGTAAAATACTTGGGGTTCCACTCTTGTATCTTGTTCATCCATTCAACAACTTCTTGACTGCTGAGAGTGATATTACCACCACCTGCTGAGACAACAGAGATTCTTTCTATATACCTGTACAATAATAAAACACTTCAATTTTCTCCCTTATCTAATGTATCATAAAATCATGTTTGGAAGCAATTTCAAGGATGCATGACTTCTTACACTGCAAAAACATAAGTTCAAAGTCCAAAAAAGGAAGAAAAAAAAAAACTTTTTTTTTTATAACGAGGACCCTTTGCAAGGCAAGGCCACCTTGGACCCACCCCTGCAAAGTAAACCCCAGATACCTGCAATCATTTGCAAACCACGGGTATCAGTTACGTACACAAGACACCAGCGAGAATCGAACCCAGGATAAATATACCAAAGAAAAATAACTAAAAAGGAAGAGTAATGGATGAAGTATACTGGATTATCTCTATTGTGTTGAATATAATGTGTGCACCATTCTGGAAAACTGGTAGTTTGGCAATCGGGTTCATCCTGAAGAATGAGGAGTCCATGTTCTTGCCTGTGATAGGATTGACATGGTATGATGTATAATCAATGCCCTTTTCTTCCAAAGCAAGCCTCACTTTTTGGCTGTCCAAGGAGTACGGGTGATGATACAGTTGCATGACTTTATGAGCATCAGCTCTTGGGATGTTGCGGGCAGAATAAAAATTTGAGTACTTTTGAGATCAACTATCAAGCTCTAGAACTCAGGGATTAAGGAGAGAGAACTTGTGAAGGTCTGCACCTATATAGCAGAAAAGGGGTTTAATAAGCACTCATTACAATCATGGAAACATTCCCATATCCAAATAGAAATAGATGCTTTATACAACACACATTGTAAACAAAATTAATAAGTGAGCCAAGAACACCAAAAAATAAAATGACCATAAAAATCACTATGTAAAACATAGAGGTAAGAGGCAGTATTCTAAGGGCATGATGGATGGATGCAGAAAACTTCAGGGAATCAGGGTTACAAAATTAGTGGCTTCAAAGCACACAAATAACGGCTACTATAATGTGATCAGAAAGACTTCAGCTATCAAAATTATCACAGTACGAATCTATGCAACCAAACCCAATTATAATAATTTTATAAAAGAACAAAACCATTATATGTAAGAATTATCTTCTTATATTCTCCACTGCCATGGTTTTTCTCCTACGCTTCTTTCACTCTCTCCTCTACCAGCTCTGGTGGTTTCCAGCCATCTCAGTGTCCACCAACTTCCTACAAGGCACTCCTTAGCCAACACAGCACACACCATCCTCATTAATTAACAATCAAATTTTTTTCTTCAAGCAGAGGTTCACTGTTGTAGATTTGTAGTTGATGATAACATTTGCACCAACCGGGGCAAATAGGAGATAGTGAGGTTAAGTACGGGAGTAGTTACCATCTCACAAAGAAGGAACATATACTATACTTGGCAAACCTTTGGTATAGAAAAGGTTACTGAGAAATAATTACATTGATGTAATGCCCAAGTCAGTTTAACAAGCAATACCTGTGACTCTATTTGATAATTTCCACCCATTGATTTAAAATAAGGTTCGAAGTCAAAATCTCATGCTAGAAGGGTATATATGTCATTGCTGATTATGGAGGTGGATTCCAACGCAGAGTCTTTCCACTAGCCATTTGCGGCATAGGGAAAAACAGAAAAAAAAACACACACACATGCATCTTTATTATTTTCTTTCGTTTCTCTTTTATTTTCAGTTTTCCTTTTTTTGGATATGTCAAACACAATATTACATGCCACCAACACGACTTTCTTTCAATGAAATCTCTACTTTATGCATAAGTTGCTAAAGGTTTCCTGAGTTCAGCTCGGAGGGTGGAACTGTAAGTATATATTTTTCGTCACTTTCACTACACATTTACATGAATCTATATTTGGAGTGATCAGGAGATGCACTGATGCGGCAGGCAACCTATTCCTTCCAAACTTTAAGTCTTTCCAGCAATCACTATGGACTGCCAAGCAAACTCAATTAGTCAGTTTCTATGCATTCGTCAAACTCGCATTTATTTGCCACAATCTGATATTAAAAATTTTCCTGTGTCACGGAAAATCATTCACCTCTATGACCATATATCATGCTAACAACCACATACTTTCCACATAAAGTTGTTGACAAGAGGAGTAAGTGACCTGCGCAGAGAAACAATTCTTCTCAGCTTCAGATGGTGGGTTTAGTAGAGAAGACCAAGGAAGCAAATATATATATATATATATATTATCATGTTCTCTGTTGAGCATTAGAGACACAATCTGTCCCAAGGGACAGATTAAAGGAGTTCTCAATGCATTTGTTACAGAGGGTGGAATGGAAGCAGTGGCCACTGATCTTGAAGGGATCAATTCCAAGTGATTAAGATTAGCTTTCACAACAAAATGCAGAAGCACGTGAAAGTTTAACACATTGTTATCAACTTCAGAGGAGAAATGACTCACTTGTTGCACCATATATCACATTCCTTGTTTTCCTTAGAAAAGTTTTAAAAGATTTTTTTTTGGGGGGGTTTAAGGTGCTTTTATTGACAAGAAAGAGAAATTACACTGAGGCTCAGGACATGTACCCAAAGGTATACAGCACTAAAGGGCACATACTCAAAAGAAACACACTAGGGCTAGCCTACAAAGATTTTACTTGCTTCACAGGAAAGTGTCATGTGCTTGTTTGAAGGCACAAAGATAGGTAGCCCAAAGCCACAACAAGCACCAAGTAAAGCAAATGAAACTGAGTTGAGGTGGGATCTATAGTCAAGGAGAAAATTTCACATTCTCGAGTCAAGAAGAAAACAAACATGCAAATTGAGAATATGTGAGTTAAGAGTTAATGTTGTAATGCAATAACAACATAGGTGAAATTTCGCATCCAAAACTGTATGCATGAGCTAAAATTCAGTCTGTAAATGCAAAATCCCAATTTATTTCTGCTCTTTCAGATTTAATTAGACACTAGTTAGCAATTCCTCATTATAAGCAATAATTAATTGAGGAGAGAGTAATCAGCCTACCTTTTTTGGTTGTTTTCAAAGACAAAGTACATTGGAAGAAGTGAAAAAAGCTAATCTGTGATCCTAAGTCTCACGAGGGAAGGGAAGGAAAAGAATTTCAACATCATCATCAAGCAAATTAACACTCTTTGCAATGCATTAAGCATTGTCAACACAGATAAACACTTTCACAAAGTAAACTACTAATAAAATGTTGATGCTAATCCATTCTTGTTCCCGAGCGTGTATACGTGTCTCCCTAGTTAAGTATTCATTAACAAAAGTACTTCAATACACAAGCAAAATAAAAAGAAAAATTACCAATTCTTGTATGGTTACGTCACCATCTGGACAGTTCCAAAAAAAAGAAAAGAAAAGAAATTTCCCCACAAGTTTCAACCGAATTCAATGAAAATACAAGCACTCGACAACAATAAGATTTTAACAAGACTGAAATTCAGATTACAATTCAAGACCATAAGGTGCCCAAATGCAAAAATTACACTCAAACCCTACCTGGGTTTACGGTTTAATCCCTTATAACCATAAAGATCAGAACTTTCAACTATCAACAGCCCAATTTGCAGAATTGAAACATTACCCACTCAAATTCAAACCATCATATTTTGAAGCAAATAGTTAAAACAGAAACTAATCAATTATCACATTTACATATGCATATGCATATACATATACACACACATATATATATATATATCAATCAATGCAAAAATTAATTGAGATTTTTGTATGAGAATTACCCAGAATTGGAAAGCCTGTTGAGAGGTTGAAACAGGGAGTCTCAGTGATTAGTGAGCTTTGGGAGATTCGAGAGCCACGTAAACGAAGAAGAAAGTAAGCAACCTCTTACAGAGAGAAGATTGACAATAAAAATGACACATTTTTGTTTTTTTCCTCCTGAAATGAGAAGTCGAATCTAAATCAACCGACCATCATGCCATGCTATCCAATGAATCCACTTAAAACAAAGGTAGTGCACGTCCCATTATGTATCGATTAACATATTTTAGCACTTTGTAATATTAAAATGGGCGGGGCTTCTCTCCTGCCTAATTTTGTTGGGGTCCATGAGTCCATCAATGATTCAACAGTTCAATACGTAGTATTTTATTTTTACAAAAAATTACGTTAATCGAATATATATAACTATTTGATTAGATCATATTTGTGTTAACGAGAAATATAATTTTAAAAATAAATTATTAATACAAATATGATTTAATCAAATAACTATCGATATCTAATTAACGTAATTTTTTATAGAGAAAAATTACTTAACGAGTTGTACATATTAAACAGTTTTGATTATCAATGTGGCCTCCATAGTAGGCCTACAAAAGCCCAACATCACCCTCTAGTTGGGAACTCAACTAGAGAGAACTCAAGCCCTATTAAAATATATCATATTTTAAGAGACTCTTACTTTTCTTTTTCCTTTTTTTTTTCAAAAAAATCTCACCTTTTTTTAAAAATAAATTATAGGGTAAATTAGACTTTACCCCCTCAATTATTATTGTTTTTTTACTTTACCCATTCGAATTAAAAATTGATATGATGTATCCTTTCATTTTTTGAAAGTTTTTAATCTAACCGTTATGTTTTCACTCTATTAACAAAATAAACGAAAAACGCATCGTATTTATGATCGGTCTTTAAAGGGTATTTTTGTCATAAATATGAGATGTGCACATTACATGTACCTTTTTTTCATCTATTTTGTTAACAAAATTGTTAGATTGAAAACTTTCAAAATATGAAGGGGTACATTGTATCAATTTTTAGTTTGAAGGGATAAAGTGAAAAGTGGTAATAGTTGAGTGGGATAAAGTGTAATTTGCCCTCAATTATATTCACCATTTTCAAAAGTTTAAGAAAAATATAACCAGTCTCATATTTTTTGACATAATTATATTAAAACTAATGAAAATGTTGAGTAGATATTGATATACATAAAAATAAACATAAATTTTAATAAAAAAATGGATGATAATATTATTTTTTCAATCATATAACTACTGAATTATTGATGAAAAATAACCTAATTATTATGTGAATTAAATCATTAAAGAGATATCAGTGTAATTATATTAAAAATGTAGGATTAACTGTATTTTTTTTTTCTATTTTTTAGTATGTTGAAAATCTACTATTATATATGATTGTGTACAAGTATATGTATTGACAATATTATTGAATTATGTTTTTTAATAAAAAAAATTTATAATCCGATAATTAATATTTTTTTGAAATTCAGTTCATTAATTAAATTCAAACTTATATTAAATAAATTGAATGAAAGGTGATGGTTTTAACTTTCTCATGAATTTGAAATTGTATTTTGAGACTATTGGAGTATATTTTGTATGCACATTACGTTAAATTTTGGTAATCGCACGATAGATAATACATTATTAAAATTGCTCTAGCTTTTCTTTCCCATGTTGTGGATACACATTTGCATTTGGCATAACATGCTCCAAAGTTCATTGGCTACAATATCACTAGAATCTCTAAAATCAATAATCACCAACATTTATCTACAATCAATTATATAATTTATTATTCGCTACAAAGAGATCATCTTTGTTTGGAACCGACAATTTAAAAGCTTAGCTAAAAGTTAAAAAATTATTTTTAATTTATTTTGAGTCATACCACTACTTTACTTATTTATTTATTTTTTTAAAAAAATAAAAAAAATTAACTTTTAACCAACTTTTCAAAATAACCTATTTTATACGTGTGTTTGTTTGAATATGACAAGGCAGATGTGTGATACAAATGAATTACAAAATAGTAACAAAAAATAAAAATTGGACTCGATTTTTTCATAACCTAAGGCTTCACCTTTGAATAATGCATTGGGCCCTCTTTGGGCTATAATTTTTTTTGGAATCCACGTCCCATACAAAGGGACTCCAAAGATATGTGGCTAGTTATGGAAAGGGCCTCAGAAGGACTTGATATAATTTGTGAGCTATGGCCTTTACCTGTAGAATAAGATAGATCTGGCTACTCTTAGTGATAGTCATAGTCAATAAAAATAAAATAGATTAAAATAAGTAATAAGGTAAAATGTTACATTTAAATATAATTATTTTATTTTTGGAACACTCACCAATAAGTTTTATATACAAAATTTAAAATTCATCTAATTCCAAAATAAAATACTTGCACTAATTAATTCTACATATTTTTAATTATTACCAAAAAGCTCTTTTTTATTTTTTATTTTTATAACTCTAAAAATGTTGCTACATCTAACGACTTCCGTGAAACTCTCTGAAAACTCGCCGGAATATTCAATATCACCGGGAAGTCACTGGAGCATCACCGGAAGTTCGCTGGAGTATTTTGAATGTCACTGGAAAATGTCAAGAACATCATCGGAAACTCATCGGAAAATTCAAAATATTGCGCGAAAAAAAAGAATAAATGAAGAAATTATAGTTAAAAAACATAACAACAACAAACAATAATGAGAAAAGTATATATTATTTTTCAATTTTTGTAGGGTAAAGCAAATAATCTGTAATATTGATTAAACTGAAAAGTAAGCTTTGAAACTGTAAAATGTTACAGTTTCAAAGCATTATTTTATTAAGCTGGAAAACATGTTATGAAACTACAAAATTTTACAGTTCTAAAGAATGTTATCAAAACTGGAAAATTTTGCAGTTTTAAAACATTATTCATTTCAGCACCAAAAAAGTTGAAACTATAAAATTTTATAATTTTTACTGCTTGTAACTAAAACTTAAAATCAACTTATTCAAAACATAAAATTTTTCTCTATTAAAATAGGAAAATAGACGTGTGTAACAGAGAAAGGATAGAAAAATTAAAACATCAAAAGAAATAATAGATATAAAAAGAATATTGTACTCGGTAACTATTTTTGATTTAGATCATTTAGATCTACTCAAATCTAATCTAGGTCTCATCTTCTTCGCCGTTGGTAAGAATGAAGTCACGAGTTGATATTGGTGGTTATTAATGAACCCCAATTAATGGTAGTCGTTGGTCACTGATAACTATATAT